CAAGTGAGAATATTGATACTCCCCCAGGCCTACACACACACACACACTCACACACACTCACACTCACACACTCACACACTCACACACTCACACACACCACACACACCCACACACACACACACTCACACTCACGCACACACACACGCACACACACGCACACACTCACACACACACACTCACACACACTCACACACACACACTCACACACATACACACACACACACTCACACACACTCACACTCACACACACACACACACACACACACACACACACTGGCTTCACCTAAAGAAACTCTTTCAACATGTTAGAATGTTAATGATTTGGGTGTTGGGCCCTAAACACTACAGGGACCTGTTTCTTACAACACTACAGGGACCTGTTTCTTACAGCCAGTATAAACCTTGTATCTGCTTATTTCTTCCTGTGTTATATTCTCAGAAGCTCAAAACCAAATCTGAAGTCTACCTCAGATAACTGCACAGAGCCTGTGGCATGTGAATACATCTCCCCCTCTCCGTGTTAGGGACTGAGTCAAACAGTCCACCTCTGAGCTGTATTTCCATCCTGTCTTGTATTCAGCCATTTTTTATTTTGTTGTGTTATAAACATTTCCGAAAGTCAGTTAAACTGTTTTCAAAGGTACAGGAAAATCACAAGCCAGGGTTTCAAGTAGGGAAGACTAACATTAACTATTTGGTGCGATGAAAGATGAATGCTTCAGATCATAATGAAGTTTCCTGCATAGCTGTACAATTCAAGCCACAGAAGGGAAAGCCCGAGTTCAGTACCCAGACGTCCTCACAGTGAGAGATGAGCTAACTGCAGTGCTAAGATGTGTAACTGTTACCCACCGTGTTACTGAAATCGATTACGAGTCTGAGACCCTCAGCTACGCTTGATAAAGACATCTTACTTCAAAGTAAGAAAACAAAACAGGCGAGCATGGAGCTCTAGAACTCACTTGGGTGACTTGAGGTCCCGATGTATAATTTTATGGAGATGGAGGTAATTCATCCCACTGGCGATCCCTGTGGACCAGTCCACCAGCAGCCGCGGTGTAATCTTCCTGCCAGCTCTCAGGACCTCGTACAGCTGCCCGTGGGCACAGTACTCCATGATGATGCAGTAGCACGGGGCCTGAGTGCAAACACCCCTTTGAAGAAAACATACATGAATATAGACAGTATACATGCATACACATCTGCATCTTGGGAGTGTTTAATAAGGGCCCACTCCTTACCCAAATGATATCAAAATAATACAGATAACAGTTCTTGATTCTTCAATAAGAACTGCATCTTTCTGGTCCAGTTTCTCTGGTTAAGCACATAGGTGATTTCTGCTTTTTTCTTAAGTCTAGACAGCAGCAGGCTGTGCTAATCTGGTAGTCTTGTGGGACACCATTCACTTTGAGACAAAAAGTATTCTTTTCTCAGGCTTGGATAGGCTGGATGTGCTGAGTTTTTTTTTAATCATTAAAATAATTTAAAATATTTTCCTTTTAAACATAAACAGATTTTAATGTAATGTACAGAGAATTAAAGTATTTTTATAATTGCTTGTTAAATTTTAAATTACTCAAATTTAAGATAATTAGACTGAGGAAATAAATAAATGAATAAATAAATAAATAGAAAAGTAAAAAAAAATGGGTCAATTTTCTATCTTCCATATAGTACTGTGAAAATTATTTAGAATAAAGAGAACATTATTTCATGTTATACATCCACACAGGTCATGGTCCCACTGGTTCCTGTATCTTCCATCACACTTGTCTTGATCATTTAAGTCCAAAGGGATCTTTCTTTTCTCATTAGCCATGAGTTTTCTCTGTTCACACGGACTGCAGACTCTGCAGGTGGTGGTGGTCTTCAGGGTCTCTTCTCTATGAGGCCTAGAGAGCCCCAGGCAGTCCCTGACATGTTTAACTTCACTCCAGAACTCACAGCTGACAGGCCTTCACCATTACATTAGGAGAGATATGGTAGGAGCAAAATCCTATCCAGTAAAGAGCTACTGATTTTCAAGCACATTTCTATGTTTTCCTTCATCTGCCTGGAATCATCACAGGATAGATTTAACCACTTCCGTGTTTATAGGGAAGGCTCAGGGTGAAAGTGAGTTATTTTACCAGATCCACTCAGTCAGTGAGTGACAAGCTAGTCTAGCTTCAAAGCCCAGGTCCTGGTCCTCACTGTATTATACTCTGTTTTTAACTTCTGCATAAACAATCATTGGGGGAGTCCTATGTTAATGCCATTAGTTCACTAAACTAGAAATAATATGAACTGTATCTCAGAGTTTTGTCTTCAAGATGGATCCATTTGGTAAGTATGCTCAGACCCCCTCAGACTCTCCAGGGAAGTTACCAGAGCACGAGGGACAAGTCAGAGACAGTTGTCAGCTGGCTTCCCATCCTGTCTCCCAGGCTGAGGCAGGAAGCAAGGGAGGGATTAGGGAACAGCATAAGGCACTGACATGCACCAGCAGTGGGGTGCGAACCAGCAGTGGGCTGCACACCAGCAGTGGGGTGCACGTCAGCCTTCGCTTCACCTGCCTGAGGTGTCCAGCAATTCCAACACCCACACAGTTAGAGAAGCCCTTCTGGAGCTGTGGGACTCCACACTGCATCCTAAAATTCACCCCAGAGTATATTTTTATCCACCCATGAGTACCCAGCCTAAACAAGCCCCAAAAAACAGTACTTGTAGCAGAATGAAATGGTACCACACATTTCATTTCACCTAAGAGGAAAAGCCCAAGACAGAGTTGGAGCTAGAAGAACAATTAGCTTCATCTCTCTCCCAACTGCGGCGGTCATCACCTGCACTCAGTCCCTGTCATCCACTATACGCTTTCTTGTTCTCCTGTCTACACATGGTTCTGGACCCACAGGTACATTTGCTTACGTCAGTAGAAATGTGTTACAGTCTGTATATGAGGGAGATCTTTTTTTTTTTTTGGTTTTTCGAGACAGGGTTTCTCTGTGTAGCCCCTGGCTGTCCTGGAACTCACTCTGTAGACCAGGCTGGCCTCAAACTCAGAAATCCGCCTGTCTCTGCCTCCCAAGTGCTGGGATTAAAGGCGTGCACGACCACTGCCCAGCTCAATCTTTGATTTTTAATGGAAAACTTTTTTGAAATCTCAGAGAAGCATACATGAACAACAACTACAAATAGGTAATTGATCACTGCACAGAAACTCCTCAGGGAACAATGTAATACATGTAAGAAAGCAAGGATAAATATGCTCGCATGGACTCAGCATCTCCTCAGCCGGCACACAGACGGAAATGGTCTAACAGAGACACATCTTGTGAGCTTTTCTTCTCATTTTGACAGATGAGAAGTCATCATTCCACTTGTCCCCTACTGTGACAAGGCTTCCAGACAGCTAGAAATAACAGCTTCGTCATCAGTTCTAATTGCTACCTTCTCTTGGGATTGAATTCTATTAGAAACAGTCAAGTTGGACTTTCTTAAAATAAGAAGAAATGACTATCTTCTTCCCATCTTGTATTTCTTTTTGTTTGTGGCTCTTACTAACTTCAAATGCATCTATAAGCACAGAAATACGTGCTAAAACCCAACCATGCCTTCCAGAGACCCTTGACTGACTCACTGACCAAAGCAACAAACGGCACATGACTGTAAACATGACACTGTGCAATGACCCTACGTGAAGGGTCCTAGGGTCACCATGCAGAAGGACACATGATTTGAATGTGTTTAGCTTAGGGAGCTGGGCCCTCGAACAGCTCCTCAAACCCAACAGTGTTGAAAATGTACCCTAGATAGAGGACTGACAGGACATGGTAGGAAGGGAAGAGACAGCAATGCACTGTCTCCTCTCAGGACCATGTCTACCTTCCATGCCAATGGCAAAGAGCCTACTGCATTCCAGAAAGCCCAAAGGCACACAGCAGTCCATCCTGGTGATCTGGGTTTCAAAGCTCTTGGCCCCTTCTTCCATGAAGGAAAACACAATTATTTCAGTGAAGGAAAATGAAAGAGAGAGAAGATGGTCTCTATTTGTCTGTCTGTCTGCTGAACATTATCCTTCTGTTAACTTGAAATTTATTGGCTCTGAAAAATTATATTTAGCTTCTAAAGCCTAACATTTTCACCAGGGCACTAGATGACAGGATTGTAACAGTGGCTGTCCTCTGCACAAAAGTCACTGCCTTCAACCTCTGTACTCCAGCAGATGCAGGCCCTCTTCTCACACCCTTCCCTTGCTGTAAGGGCTCTCACAAGAGAATTAAAACCACTTGGGCCACATTTTCTGTTCTTCACTCTTCCTCTTCTAAAGCTGATTCCTGTCACTTGTTCAGGCTTGTGGGTGGACAGCATGAAGACAGACATGGCAGGGCGCTCAAGGGAGAGGCTCAGGCAGAAGGAAACACAGCTGAGCCTGGCACTTCCAGCTGGTGCCGCAGCGCATTGGTGGTACAATGTGAGCACAGTTACCCTCCAACTGCAGTGCTTTCCACGAATTTACCTGAGACTGGCCTCTTCAGTTTCTGCCCTTCTTAAACCATAGATTGTAACCCCACATGGGGCCACACGCCTAAATGGAGGGGTCAGAAAACATTTGGCAACAGTAACATGTTTCTGAATGTACAATGAGCAAAATTAATTCAAAATCAAACACACAATGAATCCAAGCATGGCTCGACCTCATAGCAGCCCTAGTCTCCTTCAGACTCTGCCTGCTGTCAGCCACAGATGCCAGCAAACACTGTAATGCCTCAGCACACAGTAGAGACTACATATTATGGTTTTCATTTTAACTGTACAGCTTTCTGTTCTTACAGAAAGACAATAATTCAATTGTGGAAAGCAAATACTTTAGCATTTTCCTGACATCATTCTTCTGCAGGTAAGTACAAATCAGTCTACCTTTGGATGGTATTGTGCTAGAGAATGCTGCATTTTATGTACCTGTGTGTGTGTGTGTGTGTGTGTGTGTGTGTGTGTGCATGCCTGTGCATGTGTGCACATGTGTGTAAGCAGGTATGCTGGCCTACGAGGCATAGAGGGAGGCCAGAGGTTGACATTAGGGAATTCTTCTAACCACTCACCTTATTTCTTGAGACAGTGCCTCTCACTGAACCTGGACCTTGCTGTTTTGTCCAGACTGGCTAGTCTGTGACCACCAGAGCACCAGGAATATGTTACTGCTCACTCAGCACTGGAATTTTGGCAAGTACCCTCACATCCAGATTTTAGGGAGCTAGGGTTCTTACACTTATGTAACAAGCACTTTAGTTACTGACAATCTCCCCAGCCCTAAAATGCTTGATTCTAAAATTACTATTTGGGTTTCTAACTTGTGGTTCATAAAAGGCTACTGAATTAGATTTACCTTGAGATTAGGACAGAATTTCCAATGATTTCTGAGACAGCCCTGAACACGTGTCTGCCATTTTCTACTATGTATTTGTGTGAGTGGTGTTTTCAGCATGAACAGCTATGAAATCAAAATATCAGGCAACTCTGAAAAACATTGGAGATAGTCTACATCCCGCAGCATTAAATATTCAGCCAAGACTTAATTCTTTATGAAAAAGCAAACCAGTACATCCATCTTGTTAGCATTCGAAGTTCCTTAGTGCTTAGCAAATGGTCAAATTATATGTACACTGGAGAACTGTTAAAATGAATTTCCCTATGACTCAATATTAGAAGATGCTTGGATAATATAGGCAAGAAAGCGCTGAGAACAGAAAGAGTTTAAGAAACTGTGGATTCATATACATACTTGAGCACAACTGCTTTGTGAAATGAATGTATCACCAATGACTCTACAGTTGGATTTAGAAAGCCATGTTTGGCATTTCTAGGAGAGGGATGAAGTAAAACCTGATGCTCTGTATAGAGAAACCTGTCTTCATGAGTTACTATTTAAGAAGGACATTAACAGACACAAATATATGTCATCTCAGAGGGAGGACTGGTTACATCACTTCAGATGCCAGAGTTGTCGTAACTGAATTTCAGGCTGTTGTTGGGAATACTGTGAAGTGACCTTTGCCATCTTACTGACGTAGCTGATCTACAGTGTCTGGCAGGGCTCTCCTTCCTCCCTCCTGTGCATTCAGTACATGCATGCCCTTGCAATATGCATTCCTAGATTAAAAAGCTTGAGGGTATGACTCGTGCTTCCCAGTCCTTTAGCACACTAGTACTGTGCTAAGCCTATCAAGGAATTTTGAAATATCTTCCAAAGCAGAAACTTAAGTGTATACAATGAAGGAAGAAAGTAGCTCTATTTCCCTAAAACCACTCCTCAAACAAAGCTATCCAACTAACTAACTAACCAACCAACCAACCAGCCAACCAACCACCCACCCACCCACCAACCCACCTACCCAGTCAACCACCCACCCACTGACCCACCCACCTACCCACCCATCTACCCATTCATCCATCCACCCATCCACTCATCTACCCACCCACCCACCCACCCACCCACCCATCCACCCATCCACCCACCCACCCATCCACCCACCCAGCTAACTAAGCAAACAGTCCAGCAAAGCAAGTGCCGACCTACTTGAAGGCGATGATGTTAGGGTGCTTCAGCTTCCTCAGGTGCTTGATGTCCGTCTCATTTTGTTCTCTCACCTTCTTGATGGCTACCTCCTCTGCTCGGAATTTGCCCAGGAAGACAGCTCCTTGGGCTCCACTACCAAGCCACTGCAGCTCTGAGATTTCCTCAAATGGCACTTCCCAAGTATCTAGGCACATGATCAAGAAACAAGCTCAGAATGTGCTGAGAGCATTCTACAGGCCAGTCTGCAAGGTACCAAGTTCATCCCATCTGGAACAATCCTATTCTCTGATTCCCACCTAAAGATGTGACCTTCCTTTGAGCCTTGGTACTACAGGTCACATACTGGTAACTACACATTTTTAACTGCTTAACTCAAGCAGGCCTGAGATCTCAGGAGACCTTCCTCCAGAACTGCATACCCTGACCCTCAGCAACCTCTCCCCTATGTTAGGCAGGGATAACCAGCTGCCCTTCTTCTGTCTCCACACTGCCACCCTCACTCCACCACCCGCTACAGGTGTTTTTTCATCCTTCTGAACTGCTCATGCAAATGATCAATGGATCCTGCCTGGATACATCTCAAAGACATCTTCCTAACAACCAGACTGCGTGTAACATTTTCTCAGTGTTTACTCTTTACTGAATACTTACCACATACCAGAAGCTAGAGGAGTGATTTAATTTTAGCAGAATCATGTTTAATTTGACCACCTTTATGTGTCTGACCTTATTTTTTAAATCCATTTATTCCTATGGTGTGAGTGTGTGTGTGTGTGTGTGTGGCATGCATGTGACGTGTGTGTGTCTGTGTGTGTGTGTGAATATATGCATGTGAACGCCATGTGGAGGGCAGAGGACAACTTTTTGGAGTCAATTCTCTTCCATCCCAGAATCTAGGGATCAATCTGAGGTCCTTAGGTGTGGTGGTTCGAATAGGAATGTCCCCATAGACTCGTGTTTGAACGTTTGGCTATAGGGAGTGGCACTATTAGGTGTTGCCTTGTTGGAGGAGGTGTGGGGTTGGGCTTTGAGATCTCTATGCTTCATCTCCTGGCTGCCTCCGAATCCAGATGTAGAACTCTCAGCTCCTCCAGCACTGTGTCTGCCTGTATGCTACCATGCTCCCCACCATGATGATGATAGACTGAAGCTCTGAAACTGTAAGCCAGTTCCAATGAAATGCTGTCCTTTATAGGAGTTGTCTTGGTCATTGTCCCTTCACAGCAGTGGAAACCCTCACTAAGACAGCAGGCTTGCACTGCAAGTGCTTTTACCCACTGGCCTCGGCATAGTTAAAGAGGAGAGAACTAAAGCATAGGTTTGAGTGACTACTCAAGGTCACATGACTGGTAAAGGTCACATGACTGGTAAAAGTCACATGAGTGGCAGTGCAGCACCAGCCATTCTAGAAAGAGTACCTTCTCTACAGCCCTGCATTGCTTGCTACGTATGATGGAGCTAGAGAGGCCCTGGCTATTGGACACAGCCAGCCCACCTAAACTGTACTGCTCTCAACTTCTGCATTCCTTTAAAGAATATTTTTTAAAAAAATTATTCTAAGTAGTCATATTATTGGTAATTCATATT